GTGACCAATGGTTTGACTTCTCCCCTTGATGTTATTAAATACCAAAATATACATGAAAAAGACATTTTACATCTCACAGCTAGTCTTAACTGAACGGATACCTTTTTGTTTGTTTGTTTTTGTGGCGGAAACGTGCTTCCACATGAGACGAATCATTCAGTTTAACATTGTTACATCGACATGTTGCTTCCCTTGCAGGTCTCCTATTCATGGTTATATACTTTATCCTGCTGGTCCTGCTGCTGTCTCCAGTGACTCCTATGTCAGTGGTTACCTCCTTGCAGGCCTTCAACATGCCGGCGATCATCATTGGGAGGGTAGGCCTGCACACGTCACACGCGTGGTTTTAAATCATCTGTAGCTTTTTTCAGACGTTGTCTTTTCAGGCATTCCTGTAACACAGTACAGTGCATCCAGACAGACTGACAGTACTCAGAGTGATTAGCTTGTAATACATTTTCAAGACCTCATTGTGTGTATGATATGTCAGCTAACACGTGTCATCAGATGAATCCATCTTTACAGTTACACCGACAGTGTCCACTAACAACATGCAGATAGAAGAACGTGTCAGCCTCCACAAACAAACGCTCGAGCTTGAGTAACACGTGATAATCTGTCCGGTTCTCTCAGCTCATCCAGGCATCCACCAACTACGCTAACGGTCACACCGGCCAGCTCTCCGCCGTGTCTGTTTTCCTGCTGTTCGCTGGGTCCCTCGCACGCATCTTTACCTCAGTACAGGTGAGACGATTAAAATACAATGCACACCTCCGTGTCTTTGCCCTGGTTTGAGCAGTTTTTACGGGGACCATTCCTCATCAGAGCGTTAGCTCTTTATTGAACTAAGATCTCATTATAGAGGACATGGTTCACATTCTGCAAAAAGTAAATTATTGAGCTTTATGCTGTCTTTTTACAGGAAACTGGAGACTCACTGATGGCGCTCACCTACGTCATATCCTCAACCTGTAACGGCATTATTACTCTGCAGGTTCTTTACTACTGGAACAGTTCACCTCAGAAGAAAAAAGAGGATTAGACAAATAACCGTCACTAAACGTGGATAACAGAGAGCCATCTACATGTTCGTTAGACACTATGTGTGTCTTTAAACTTGGAAGACCAAACTTACACATGAAATGTTTGTACAAAGCCTTTGGGACACATGGTATTATAGATGTGCACCTGACTGACGTACAGGTGAAATTGTAACAAGCCAGGCTGATCATTCAGCTTTTGTGATGAACAGCTTTGGTGGTGGGGTTAAATTATGGGTCGAGCTGCTGCTCTAGTCCTCTCCCTCCCTGCACTGTCCTTACATTCCTTTTGATGCAGTTTCCCTGATTGTGGTTCACACTGGTTTTAATCATCACAGGGTTAAATCTGTAGGCCCTGTGGAGGAAACACGCCGAGTAACCATTGCACATTTGTTTATCATATATTCCACTGACTTGTATTGTAACAGCAGCGAGCGACACAACATATCCTTATATTGAATTTCTCTTCAGCTGAAATAAAATATTGTGATTCTAAGTTGGAGGTTTACAGTTTTTCTTTTCTGCATCATCACATAAAGAGTGTGTGTGCGCGCGTGTGTGCGCGCGTGTGTGTGTGTGCGTGTGTGTGCGCGCGTGTGTGTGTGTGTTCCTGTCTAGCTATCTTTGTGAGGACCGAAATCTGCATTCTACTATAGTTGTGAGAACCAACAGGCACTTGTGAGGACGCACTCACCGGTCCTCACAAGTGTGAAGCCATTTTGAGGCTCAAAATGTGGTTTTAGTGTCAGGGTTACAATTAGGTTATGGTCAGGTTTAGAGTAAGGGTGAGGCATTCATTTTTAATGGTTAAGATTAGGGTAAGGGGCTAGGGAAACCATTATGTCAATGAAGGTCCTCACTAAGATAGCTGAACGGGCTTGTGTGTGTATGTGTGTGTACATATTTTTTTCCTGTTTTCTTATACGTTCAGTGAAGTGATGCAGAAACCAGAGACTGAGAGCTGAACGTGTGCATATTTACTCGCCGGTTAACTTTGAAGAACGTCCACGTCCTGCAAAGAGTTTGTGGATCTCAGGTTTTTGGGTCTTTACCTTACAAAATAAAGAGTTGTTGTTGTTGTGATTTGTTGTCATTTAAATAAAACTAAATTGAATCTTGAATGTAAACACTGAATCACACTTTAAAGCTCTGTTGGTAACCACCACCTGATGCTCACACACAACACTCACACAAACAGAGAATGACTGCAGCTCTTTGTAAAGACTTTTAAGTCACTCTTGGCATATCCATGGCAACCACTTTTTGAAGCCTCATTGCTTGTTGCTAGGTGAGGAGATGTACTGGACCAGAAAATCCTTCCATTGACACTCCCTCCACCTCCTCCTCCTCCCACACTACTCTTTCTCCCCCTTCTATCCAATTCCTATCCTCGCATGGTCCCATGGACCTCAGCAAAAACACCAACGTGTGTGCTTCAACGTCTCCCACTTAGAACAAATGGTCAACGATTGTTCCCGTGCTACTTCTGTTGTCATGTCACATGGTTTGCTGTTCTTGGTTTTTATATTTTTATAGCTACTCCCTAAAAGATCCCTGTTTTACATTTTAAGAATCAAGAGTGTTGTGGGGAAAGTGTTAAAGGTCCACATCCTAGGAGGGTCCATACCGCCTTCCAAGAGATGGATGGATATAGAGATGTGTGTCACCCTAAAATATGTCATGTTGAAGGGCTGAGAAGCTATAGGTTTTTGCAGTCTCTTATATGTGCTCTATGTTGTTATGCCCCTCCTGTTGTTGGTCTCGGTGCGCTCATCTTTTCTCCCTTTCCTCAGGATCCTATCCCCTCCCCTCAGTGACCGATTAGCCAGTGCGTGATTCCCTCCCATTTCCATGAGAAAGGCGCTGCTCGGTGAAAGGGTTAAGCCTGTGGACTAAGTCCTAAAAAGCAACCCTAATTTTCTGCTCGGTGGGGGAGTGAGGAAAGCGGGGAGTGGGAACAAAGACGCCCAGGGGAGGAGCGGGGACTCTGGGTTTACTATATGCACCTGCGACTTGAAAAGCCACGGACAATGTGCTTCTGAAACGGCCAATTACGAACGGGCCATCCACTCGCTTTTTCTGTGGAAAGACGTGGGGGAGGAGGAAAGACGAGTCTAAAGGAAGGAAGAGACTAAGGAAAGTGAATTTTTAAAGAGGGTAAAGATAAGAAAGTAAATAATCGAGCTCTAAATAATTCTGGGGACAATAGAGGACACCCTGTCCTGCCTTCCCAGCCCCCAAAATTCATCCTCCCATATCACATGATCCCCTGTGTTCTCCCGCTTTAAGTTCATTTTTGTCCCAAGTGTTATCCTGCCTCGGGCAGAGCTAATGGCTCCACCCGGTAGGAGGAAAAGTGTCTCTGGAATGCTGAGAAACACAATTTAAACTTGTTCAATTCAGCTTTAAAGTCAAAGATTCTCTTTTTTTGATGCAAAGCAAAAATTTACGACTGATAAACTCAGAACATTGTGACAACAGGAAAAAAAGGTTTTCCTGTTTTTCTTTTTTTGCATATTTGTAACAGTTTTCAGATCTTCAAACAAATTTTCATATTAGGCAACAATAACCCAAGTAAAACAAAAGTCCTGTCCTTCTGTTGAAGGACAATTTCATTTATTAAGAGGAACAAAGTTACCAAACCTGCGGTCCAAAGTGAAAAAGGAATTGTCCATTTTTAAATCATAAATTAACACGCAGGCCTGATTACTGCCAGAACTGATGAACAACAAATCACTTAAACCGGGCTAAGTGAAGGTTAAGACATCTCAAAGCAACACTTTATGTTGTGATCTAAAGAAACTCACTAACGGATCAGAAACAAAATCATCGATATCATGTCCAAGTCTCCAGCGGACCACGGTGACAACTATTATCAACGAACTTAGCAGAGCGGCTGTCTTCCCGGGAGTGACCGGCCTACCAAATGACTCCAAGCCTGTGTCGCTGACGTGTCCAGGAGGCGATAAAAGAACCAGAACTACATGAAAAGAACCTCAGGCCTCACTTACCTCAGCTAAGTGTTCATGATTCAACAGGGAGAAATAGACTGGGACAAAATGGCATTCATAGATTTCAGAGTGAAAAAGAGCTAAAAAGTCTCGGGGAAAATCACAGGAGTCTGATACAGAAATGTAACTCTGTCCCATCCATCAGGGATGTGTTAGTGTTTGTTGGTGTCAACTTTGGGAGCCGACACGTTTCATAAAAATGAAACCTTACCAACAGTCGAACATGGCTGCAGCGTGACGGTCTGGGGCTGCTCTGGTGCTTCAGGATCGATGACTTGCTGGAACCACGAATTTGCAAATTGATGGAACAATGAGTTCTGCTCTCTACCAGAAAATCCCAAAGGAGGATGTCGGATGTCAGTTTGTGCCCTGAAGCATGAAATGATGTTCGGCCTTCGGGGTTTCAGGTTATGGAGCAGAATGATGATCTAAAACACACCAGTCCCCTTTAAAAAGGGGAAAAGTGAACAAAACAATGGTTTTGGAGCGGCCTGGACAAAGTGCTGACTTAAATCCTGACCGCCGTTCGTACTCAAAACCCTCCATTAAGGCTTATAGTGGGGTACACTCATACTGCATTCATAATGCAAATATTATAATTCAATAAAAGTTCAAGTGTCAAAGCAGGTAAATACTAGGCCGACATTAAAATGGTGAAAAATCAAATTGTATTAAAACAATGTCAGAATCATCAGTCTGTGTAAATGTGGCTCATGATTGTTCTCTTGAGTAGTTTTAAGGGGAAATCGTTTCCAGAATTACTTGTATTCACTATATAATTGTAGTATTCTAACCCACAACCTACCCACCTAATCCAGCCCAGCACTGTGCAAATGGATGAATGATTACAATATAAACTAAGAAGCCGGCGAGAGCATGAAGGCTGGATTAGTGAGTTATTGGATTGGAGACAAAGTGAGCTGCTGTAATTTCATTTTCATGAAACGTGTTGGCATATACCTAATTTATTAATGTTGTTATGAAAGCCACAAATCTTTTCCATCAAAAAGGAATCAGACTCTTAGTCTAAGAGCTTCATATACATACTGTTTGCATAAATGCTGCCTACGGTAACTTACACATGACACTGGGCAGGTTAAACCCCGAATGCTGGACATAGTTCAGCTATGATGACTAGAACAGAATTATATCACAGTACGTGACTGACATGTCCCGCTTGTGTTTGAAGATCACACTTTGAATCCAACCAGGACTAAACTTAAAAAAGAAATTAGCATTATCTCAACGTTTGTTACTGCAAAAAGTTTAGAAACAAGAATAAAGGTTTTCTGAGGTTTAATCAGGAACACGCATCCATTCTCTTTAAAAGTTATAAAAATACAACTGACAGTTCATTTAAAAACAACTCTGGTCTTTTTCCAATCCAGCGTCCTTGTATGGAGACATTTGAAAGACCAACTGAAAATCTAGCAGTTCACATAAAAATCCTTTCAATTATTTAAAAGCATAGAAAAAGTAATACTACACCTGCCTAGCGCAAGAGGACATGAATATAAATTCAGCATGCTCAGTTCAGATCGATGCATCGAAACATGAAAATGTCCTAAAACTAAATTATAGCAAATAAAACACCTGCACACAGTGAACACAGTCAGATCTTAGAGCCGAAAGTGTGATTCTGACTGAGGCTGCTTGTATTACTGCATGTAGGAGGTACTACTGCACAAAGCCAGTCCTTTTCCTCGTAGACACGGTGGTGATTGTCCAACAGAAGTTTGTTTCATTTCATTCAAATGTAACTGAAGAGTAGAAGTCCAGATCTAACACAAGGCTACTAAACCAAAGCCACATGGCAAAGAGTTAGATTTTAAAAAGCTCTGTTATTCAAGTTGTGCATTTCATTCTCGAGTTTCCTGCTGACGCGTCACAGCAGCACTAACGAACGGCCAGCAGCTCAGGTGATGTGGCTATCACATGATTTCAGATGGCAGAAAGTGACAGTCGCCATTCGAAGACGTGGCCACGGGAACCAGTCCAACCAGCACTGACTGTGCTGGAACCATAATGAAAGCCAGTATCGCAAGTATTTAGGGTGGTTCTAAAACACAAGTTCTATAATACACAAAACACTAGAAAATATTACATGTTATGTACAACAGACACCCCGGCTTCACTCCAGACATTCAGTGAGAGACGTCTGTGGCAGGGTGGTGGGTGGAGTCTCAGCGCTGCGTGTGTGGCCTGGATGCGTCGTGGCACCAAAGAGTACATTCGGATACTTTTCGTACTGCAGACACATCATCAAAAACTTCACAACTTCTTTATGCTGACATTCTGAAGTACTCCACACCCGATTCCATCTCCTCTCTAGCTGCTCGTGAACCGTTCGTCAGTCCTAGATGTGTGTGAGAGGAACAGTTCCAGTGAGGTAGTGCTGCTGCACACTGGTGTAGCCCCTCTGTGCTGTCGAAGGGTCGCTGGCATCTCCTCCCGGTCCAGGAATGTACATGCTGATCATGTCTCTGAGGTCACCCTGCAAAGCCCCCCGATGGTGGTTTGGTGTTCCCGTGGGAGGAGAGTGGGACACCGGTTCTGATTTCACCATGGACATAGTGACAGGGCTGGGCTGCTGTGGACTGCTGCTGTATGACATGGGGCTGTGGGGTGAAGACGGCATTACAAGTTAAACAACATCAAAACAACGTAATTATTTTGGAATAAAAACGTCAGGATGTACTGCTGAACTACAATTCTGTCCTGTCTTTGTCCACCATAAAAACCAGTGTGCACCGAGCTAGTTACAGCACTTTATCATCAAACACACTCCTGCATTACTGGAAACTCTGCAATAGTTATTTGAATCCGGTGTAGTAATTATATCCAGTTAACTTTTAAGCACCAGATATTTTCAGTTCTGTGTAACATAGATAATAATGCCGCAGAGCGAAATACAGAATTACTTCTCTTACACTGAGAATTTATACATACATATTTTTATCTTGCACTGGGGATTTTGTTGCTATCATCACATATAAAAATTCCCAATACGTTAACAAACCACAGCGTGAACTCTACAACAGACATGAGTGAGCGCACAGCAGACTATGTTTGATTTTGTAGGAAAACTGCGGGATGACTGGTCTATGTGTCACAGCTGTTTTCTTTCAGTACATCTGCTTTTCTATCTGAATCCTCTATCATAGTTAAATGCGTATTAATGTACACTGATGCAAACTTGTCTTGATTTTCGACACTAAAATGCATTCATTAAATACATGTAGAGAGATATTTTCAGTGTTGGAAGAGACTGGATGGATTATAAAGTTGATACGTGTTCCTGATAAATCTTCAAAATACTGTCTGAGAAAATTTTTACAATTTGGATTCGACTTGTGTTTAAAAGCTTAAAGGAAAAATCTCAAGCTTCAATGATTCCACTGCTGTATTAAAAATGCAGTGACAGGTACAGCTGCAGACCAGTCAGCAGAACCAATCAAACTGGGAACTACTGCAATAAATTGCAGCATCATCCATCCTTACACCTGAAAATTGATCAAGTGTTCAGACTTTGTTTAGGGTCATGAGATCTGTGCTAGGAGGCAAAATCTCCCCTAACACAGGACAATGGTTTGGACGGGGGTCTGTGGGCAGGGGACCACACACGGAGCAAGCCTGCTTGCCAACAAGTTATACTGATAAAGACTGCAGGCAGAGGAATGCAGACAAACCTCGTTGCTCAATCATATGTAGACTTCTTTGTGATTCGGTGGGAATGGATGCAACATATGTGCCTCATTTGAATAAACTCAGCATGATGAGTCCTGTGGCAGTTTGAGAACATCCAGCATTACTTATTTCTGGTATCTTAATTTTCATTCAGTAAAAAAGACATTTCTCAGACTCGTTTTTTAAAATCAGAATCAGGATACTTTATAAATCCCCAAGGAAATTATGTAAAACAATATAACAGTGAGGGGATTTTCAGCACAGAGAAATAAATTCACCGAGTGAAAGTCCAAGGAACCATGAAGTCGCACTAACGAAGGATTGCACGCTCCGTTTCCACCAGATTTGAACACCTTTGACCTGAGTTTGGAGAACTCAGTGAAGAAGTAACCTACAGTTTAAACGCTGCTGCTCAGTATCGTATCTGCGCGCTTTGCCATCTTTAACGAGCGCTGGGAACATGCGCGGTTGTTGTTTTGCAGAAACGCAGACACACACTCACCTGTATGAGTTGGCCCCGTTCATGTACGTCTGCGGCGCCGTCATTGCAGGTGGGTACTGGAGAGCTGACAGCTCATACCGGTGGAGCTGCTGTGTGTAGCCCAGTGCCTCGCCCTGCATGCCGGCGTATCCTCCGGTGGGGCCCCAGCCATAGCTCTCCATCCTGGGGCTCCCACCTTGGCTCTGTGCCGCTGCCACCAGCAGGTTTCCCGCTGTCAGTGGGTACTTGCCTACCTGAGTGTCTTTTTTGAGTAAAGGCTTTGTCTTGCGTCGTGGCTTGTACTTGTAGTCAGGGTACTCCTTCATATGGACCGCACGGAGCCGCTTGGCCTCGTCAATGAAAGGCCGCTTCTCAGCATCGTTCAGAAGTTTCCACTCGGCCCCCAGCCGCTTGCTGATTTCAGAGTTGTGCATTTTCGGGTTTTCTTGTGCCATCTTGCGCCTCTGCCCCCTGGACCAGACCATGAAAGCGTTCATGGGCCGCTTGACTTTATCCATGGGGTCGGCTCCAGGTGCGCATGCCGTTTTAGAGCTCGGGTGAGAGTTTCCATTGCTGCCCATGCTCCCGGTCATGGTGCCGGTGACCGGTGACATTCCCTGGGAGGTCTGATGAGAAGGGGGCTGGCCAGTCGGCTTCAGCTCGTGTTCCATCATGCTGTACATGCTGGGAAAAGTAGGAAAGTTGAGTTACAAATAAACGATCGAGCACTCAGGAGCCTTCGTCGCCGTCAATCTGGCGACTTTTGGCCAGGTTTAGTTACACGTTTCCCCGGGGCTTACGCACGACACACCCGTGAGACTGCAGCGGACAACCTGCCCCCCCTTTCTTAAATTAAAAGTCTCTCGAGGCAGTCATTAAACTAGCACTGAGATACACTTTCACAGTAAAGTTTTGCGGTTTCAGTGCAGTGAAAGAGTTTACGGAAAACCACTTGTTGTCAGACAGCCAGCTCACACACTGAACTCATCTGTCTGTTCACTCCCAAAGTTCTCCTATTCTCGTGCAGTCAGGCATGAACCAATGGGAATGGCAAAAAGCTTCATTCTGTGCGTGTGCATTTGCAAATGAAAGGGCTCCGGGGGTGCGTGAGACACTTGTTGATGACGGAGTTGGTGAGAGGAAGCATTCCAGTAAGACAAGACGATCTTAATAATCCCCGGGCAACTGTAAACTATATACTGAAAACGAGGTTTTAGCAAAGTTGTCTGTGGAGGCAGCCACGCAGGCTGTCACGCGTCTCCGGGCTTAAAATATGGTTCGAAAGATCCGCAAATATAAATGTATCTATAATCATGAAAGTTGAAATAGTACAAACAACAAAAACTAAAAGAGTAAACAGGGTTTTGTGTTTATAACCAGTTCGATTTCATTTATAAAGCACAACAACAACAGTGTTTGAAACTGCGGGGTAACCGTCCGACAATATCACAAAGAAACCCCCAACGATGAGAGCTCCTCTGTGGGCAACACGGGGGACACAACTCCCTCTAACTGTTAGCCAGGGCCAGGCTGGGAGAGGAGCGCATGCTGCCGCTGGTTGGTTAGGGAGGTGCAAGAGAAAAACCATCAATAATTTCATTTCAACAGAGACATATTGTGTCGCACAGCCTGTCGGGACTGTTTCACACACGCAGCTCTGGTTCCAGAGTTTTTAAAAGAGCAAGAGACTTTCAACTTAGCATTTCAAACCTAAAAGTTTTTCTAGAAAGAGTAAATTATTTGCACACAGTAACAGAATTATGTAAAAATAGCTCCTGAAAACTAACCATGTTATTGAGTAATAGCACAAACCATGGGTGTGCAATGGCTTTGTAAAACTTGTAGCTGGTAAAATCTGACTGAGGCTTATCTTTCAGTTTACATCCAACAGAAGTTTGAGCTGCAGCTTTAGAAAGCTTCATGCCAAAAGCAAAAGAAATCAGTTTAGCTTGAGGAAAAGATATGTTGGTGTTCATAACTCAGGAGGTGGATATGAAAAGTTCCAACTGTCAAGAACTGGAGTGGAAGTGTCATCGAGAAACTCAAAGAGAGCCAGAACAAGCCTTACAGAGGTAGGAAGTAAAAGACTAGTGAGAGATGCATCCAAAGATCCCAGAACAACTGCCGACACACAAGTGACCCCAGTAGGACAGTCACAATTGTTATTTCAAGGAAGACAGTTACTTGCACCCTGCACAGGAAGCAGAGCAATGGAAACTGTGCAGACACCTTCAAGTCAGACTGAGATACGCTAAAGACAACCTGGAGAAAGACTGTGCACACTGGAAGCCCGTCCTTTGGTCAGAGAGAACTAGCCATAGAGACGCTGCTTATGTTTGGAGAAAGAACACAATCCCCACAGTGACACACAATGACGAGAGTACTAATCTGCAGGGATGCTTCGGAGCATCTGGAACTGTGAATGTCGTCAAAGTGGAAGGAATCGGGAAAATCTGGAACCCTGAAGCAGTCGGCAGCAAAGCTGGGTCTGGGTTGCTGCTTTATCTTCCAACATGACAACAACACCAAACACACATCCCTCATGGTGAACCACCTTCAGAACAACAAGTAAAAAAGCTCTGACTTGAATTCCATTGAAAGTCCTTGACAGTTTAATTTGGAGGAGCTTGAAAGTCGCTAAGAATGTACTGGGATTACTTTGGAGATGTGCGAGTCTTGTTGAACCACAGCAAACGACTGCAGCAATGTCGACAACCCTGGTAGTTTTGTAAAATGATTTTATCACCGTGAAGTGAAGTTGCTTGAAAAAGCTGAATTAAAAGTGTTTGTTCTGTTGGTACGTAACCAAATCATGTGTTAACATCAGTTATCAGAGTGTCCTTAAAGCCAACACTGATGAGACAATCATAACGAGAAGCTTCAGATGAGAGTTTGGGTCGAATTTAGTTCCAAGAACTTCAACGTTATTTATACCAAATCACAACAACGTGTTTTATATTGGAAGGTAAAGACCTCTACAATGTAGCCAGCTCTGATTAGTACTCACAATCAGAGCCTTAAAGAATGATAATAGAGTACGATGTGGCTGTTTCGATTACTTTAATTATGCCGTACTATCTCCTGCTGACTTTGTGAACATGTCAGAGAATCAGAGACTTTTTTAATGTTAAAGAGCTTGGACCGTGACATTTCCATTATATCTCCTCATTCAGCAGACCCACGAAATAATGATGAGATTCAAATGTTTTGGAACGCATCAAAGTCCAAACAGCTTGATGGAAAGGAGGGGAAATCTGAATGAACAGAAATAAAGTTGGATAAAATACGCTGGGGTTTGGAGGTCAGAGAAGTGGGTAAAGGCTATAGATTTATAGGGGGAGAAATAACCAATGAAAACAGGGAAGGCCAGAAAATGAAGGTGAAAAGAAAGGAGGAGGGATGCAATGATGAAGGGATGGATGATGAAGGGGTGGGTGATGGGTTGGTGCAGGAGGGTGGATTTGGATGACAGGGCTTGAATAGACCTCTATTCTTCCCTACGCTGGCTTCTCTTATCATGCAAAACAGGCCCGTTCAGCCTCCCAGCCATCCGTCACACAAAGAAAGACCATGGCAGCCTTTTTACAAGCCTCACACTCACATAATCCACCCACCCCATCCCACCATCTCTCAACCCTGCGATCCAACACCCAACAGGGAGCGAGTTGGTACCCACAGTGTGCATGTGGCATTTGGGGGATGGGCACAGGGTACATTCACCACAAACAGCGCCTTTGGAAAAGGGACCACCTAACCTGAGAAGCAGGCCACAAAGTTGAGCTGTGCACCATGTTTTGAGGCTGTGCAGACACGATTATAGAACCACGGGAAGCTGGAATAAGGCTGCCCGTCCATCCCAGGTCTAACATTTCTCTATCTTACGTCTGTGCCTGTGAGCTGGAAATTAGTCTGTGGATAAACTGTCAGTGTCGCTCCTCCAGCAGGCTGGGAGAGAAAGAAAATGCAAATCCACAAGAGTGTGCATGTGTGCTACAGAGAGTACAGGGCTGATTATGTTAGCAAGGCTGAATCGACGTCTCCCTCTAGTGGACGGAGACGTTATCGTTCATACATTTGTTGGCCTCCTGCAGGACATGCTGATGGTGCTGCTTCTCAGACAGCTTCTATTTGCTCAGCAGGAAAAACACTGTATGCGTCTCTATTTCATCATTTTATATTCCAGCTTTATTACAAATGCACACATGTATCTTTACCTTATCGTAGACATGCCTTATGCCGTTACATGTTTAGTACTTTATTATGAAGAATTGCACTCTATGCAAGAGTCCGTCAACCAGCCGCAGCCTCAGTAAACTGGTACGGTCTGTAGCTGCTGCACCCACGGTGGGTGAGTCAACACCGTTTCACACAAACATCAAATATTTGAATAAGAGCAAATTAATTCAGTCCTATGACGCTCCTGTTGTCTCAGGGCTGTCTCTTTTTAATGAAGACTCAGATCTTAATGAGCTCTTTAATTGGGAGAAAGAAAAAAAAAGACAACGGGAAAATAAATGATGGGAAATGCAACAGAAACACTGACACGTTCTCCTCTGATGGGACACAAACGTGTCTGAAGATGTGAATATTATAAGAGTTCCAGCTCTAACATTGACTGCTCCACTCCATCGCCCACGTCACTGAGTGAGCTTTGCCACAAAAGTAGACACCACACAGGATTTGGCCAACAGAGGGCTGCTTTACAGCTTTAAAGAAAAGGAAAAGAAAAGGATGTTTTTATTGTTTTTCTTTTAAAGACCAATAAAATAAATACTATACAGTATCCAATGTAGAAAACCTGATACACTGTCTCAAAAAAAAAAAAAAAAAAAAAGAGAGGGGAAACAATCCATACATTTGGGGGAAAAAATAAAAAAATATTAGCACTGATAGCACACACCTCATAATACGAGAGCTCAGAAACTTTTGGTGGAGTGGAAAGCAAGATAAAAATCTCTATATACTTTTATATTTGTAGTTTGGTCCAGATGACACTCCCCATTCATCTATAAGATTTGGATGAGGTAGGTTACAAAACATGACCACAACCATTTGAAATCTTATATTCCCTGTAAAAAAACAAACAAACAAAAAAAAAAAAAAAAAAAAAAAAAAACCTCCAATCTCAACTAACTGGAGACGGGGAAAAAAAATAAAAACCAAAAAGCCGCTTGGATCTGGGTCAGGAGGCCAAATCGCTACAACTCACCGTTTCTGCCTGCAAGCACTCCTCATCTGAACTCTACTGTACAAATGGCTGAACAGGGTTACGGCTGCAATGGGAAAGGAGGAAAAGCAGAGAAGCACAGCAGTAAAGAGGATCAAATTTGTCAGCCACTGTACAGCTCATTTTATTGATCATGTCCTGTTTACTTCCAGAACCCAAAACCTGCTGTAAACATGACCGTGGGCGTGCGTTGTGCAAATACACTGAAGATTGTTTAAATACTGAGCTAGTCAATCACACCGCTGTTCATTCAGAACACCGTCGAGTCCAGACTGCTCGGGTCAGCCGACCGACGCTGCAACAGCCAAACCTCACACAAGCTGCAAATCAACAGTGTCTCTTTGCCAACAATCAGCAAGTATAATGTCATCACTGGACTTTAAATGTGCTTTTGGAAACAGTTCTGGCGTGAAGCAGAGTATTTAACCGCTGGGAAAATTTCAGGGTCGATAAAAGACAATGGCAAATGGAGCGGGTCAGCAAGTCATTCTTCCAAAATCATGTCAAATGCTGAGTAAATTCAGGGTGGAATTTAGAAAAAGGAAGTTTTTAGTATTCGTATTGTAGGAAACAAGCTTTTACTTCTAAAACAATCGGATATGGGTGGACAAACAGAAGCGGGGAGTCTTCTAGATAAGATCGGCCACGTTCATGGGCATCTCCTCCACGGTGGTGTTGTAGAATGTCTCAATGTCCCTCAGTGTTCGCTTGTCATCCTCGGTTATCATGTTAATGGCTACTCCCTTTCTGCCGAAACGACCTCCCCGACCGATCCTGTCAAAAACAAAAGGGATCACCGTCACTGCAGATATCATCTCTTTGGGTTTGCTGCTCATGCTCACGTTGGACAAAGAGTTGACGTGAACATTTCATTTGCCTGTTGTGCATAGCTGCCAATCATGTCTGCAAACCGTTTATGTCCTCACCTGTGGATGTAGTTTTCCCTGTTGGTTGGCAGGTCGTAGTTGATGACA